TCTCTCTCTCTCTCTCTCTCTCTCTCTCTCCGCGGAAGTTCGACACGACAGAGTAGAAGGTGAAACGAAAAATTCGATTCGACGGTAATTCCACGCGTGATGTATCGAGTTTCGCGTGCATCAAGAGGATTAATACCAGGCCAGACGGAAACACACGACGTGCGAACTCCACTGAATATTCATAATTCATGCAACGCAACCCCCTCGCCTGCTTCGTCCACCATAATAGCAGGCAGGCCATTGCCGCGTGCAAACGCATGAATTATTTATGGGGTAAATTATAACGCACCCTCCGCGCCATTTTGCCAAATGACAAAATTCTTAATTGCGGATCGCGAGATCCGCGGACAGGTTTATGCGCTCTAATTCTACACCGCTTTGCCACCCTTTATTTATTGCCAGCGGTTCTACTTAATTTTTACCCTAATTTCTACTTCTTCAAAACAAGTGCCGACAGCGAGTACACTTGAGAGTTGCGAATTAATTAAGTTGTTGCTTGCAAAATTATTACTAAAGGAATTGCGTAAAACGGAATTTGGGAAGCAACCGCCTTGGAAAGTGAAACGTTTCTTAAAAATGGACAATGTGCGCGGACTGAAAATGAAAATTCTGTCCGAACGTTTAATTAAAAGTCCAGTTTTTATATTGTACTATCCATCGGGTAGTATCAGTATTTGCTACAAATATCTTTTTTAATATTGACGAGAACTTTTTTAATATTGACGAGTAAATTATCTCGTTCCTCAGGACAGAGAATTTTTCATTTTTATATTCTACAGGTTCTATCCTGTCTGAAACTTTTATCTTTGAAAACATTTATTTGGTCGGAGGACTTGCAACGACGTTTTTCGAAAAGAAGTTCGAAGTTTACCTATTTAAAAGTAACTTCTTCGATGCCTGGTATTGATTATTCGAAAGAATGCTAACACTAATCCACAATATAATTAACTAATACTAATGTAACAACAACATATATGATCGAATGAACGTAAGGCAGGTGTGGCCAAGTAAGTACGTTCTGGCAACGAGTGCGTAGAACGGACAAAGATTCGTCAAAAGATCGGGAACAAAGCGTACACGCGTGGCATGCGAGAGCTGCGACCTATTTCCGCTTGGCAATTCCGCGAAAACAATGGGAATGCGCGGCTGGCAATTCGGATTAACGAGCAGGCTGATTAGAAGCGCCCTTCCCGCTGGCCCGCCGCTTTCTGCGGGGTAATTCGCACCAGCGAGCGTGTACGGCCCTGTGACGCGCCGCATGCCGCATTCCGCATCGTCTGCATCGCACGTATGCATCGCGACGCGGATGTACGGACGC